ACAGCTAGTAGTAGTGCTGCTGATGCTAACAGCGGCACGTGTGTAGTAGGTGATGCTAACTGCTGCACGTGTGTAGTAGGTGATACTAACAGCTGCAGGTGTGTAGTAGGTGATACTAACAGCTACACGTGTGTAGTAGGTGATGCTCACAGCTGCAGGTGTATAGTAGGTGATACTCACAGCTGCACGTGTGGAGTAGGTGATACTAACAGCTGCAGATGTGTAGGTGATACTAACAGCTGCAGGTGTGTAGTAGGTGATACTAACAGCGGCACGTGTGCAGTAGGTGATGCTAACAGCTACAAGTGTGTAGTAGGTGATACTAACAGCGGCACGTGTGTAGTAGGTGATGCTAACAGCTGCACGTGTGCAGAAGATGATGCTAACATCTACAGGTGTGTAGTAGATTATACTAACAGCGGCACGTGTACAGAAGGTGATGCTAACAGCCACAGGTGTGTAGTAGGTGATGCTAACAGCTGCACGTGTGTAGTATGTGATGCTAAAAGCTGCACGTGTGTAGTAGGTGATGCTAACAGCTACAGGTGTGGGGTAGGTGATACTAACAGCTGCAGGTGTGTAGTAGGTGATACTAACAGCGGCACCTGTGCAGTAGGTGATGCTGGCTGCACGTGTGCAGTAGGTGATGCTAACAGCTACAGGTGTGTAGTAGGTGATGCTAACAGCTGCACGTGTGTAGTAGGTGATGCTAACAGCTGCAGGTGTGTAGTAGGTGATGCTAACAGCTGCACGTGTGTAGTAGGTGATACTAACAGCTACACGTGTGTAGTAGGTGATACTAACAGCTACAGGTGTGGAGTAGGTGATACTAACGGCGGCAAGTGCAGTTGGTGATGCTAACAGCTACAGGTGTGGAGTAGGTGATACTAACAGCGGCACGTGTGTAAAAGGTGATGCTAACAGCTACAGCAGGTGTGGAGTAGGTGATACTAACAGCTGCACGTGTGTAGGTAAATTGATAAACAGGTGATGCTAACAGCTGCACGTGTGTAGTAGGTGATGCTAACAGCTGCAGGTGTGGAGTAGGTGATACTAACAGCTGCACGTGTGTAGTAGGTGATGCTAACAGCTGCACGTGTGTAGTAGGTGATGCTAACAGCTGCACGTGTGCAGTAGGTGATACTAACAGCTGCACGTGTGTAGTAGGTGATACTAACAGCTGCACGTGTGTAGTAGGTGATACTAACAGCTGCACGTGTGTAGTAGGTGATACTAACAGCTGCAGGTGTGTAGTAGGTGATGCTAACAGCTGCACGTGTGTAGTAGGTGATGCTAACAGCTGCAGGTGTGCAGTAGGTGATACTAACAGCTGCGGGTGTGGCCTAGGTGATGCTAACAGCTGCACGTGTACTGCTAACAGTACGTGTATGGTAATATACTAACAGCTGCGGGTGATGCTAACGGCTGCGGTTATGTGTAGTAAATTGGTGATGCTAACAGCTGCACGTGTGTAGTAGGTGATACTAACAGCTGCACGTGTGTAGTAGGGTGATGCTAACAGCTGCACGATGCTGCTAACTGCATGCGTGTAGTAGGTGATGCTAACAGCTGCACGTGTGTAGTAGGTGATGCTAACAGCTGCAGGTGTGTAGTAGGTGATGCTAACAGGCTGCTACAAGTGTGTAGTAGGTGATGCTAACAGCTGCATGTGTGTAGTAGGTGATGCTCACAGCTAGGTGTAGTAGGTGATAACAGCTAGGTGATGCTAACAGCTGCAGGTTTATAGTACGTGATGCTAACAGCTGCAGGTAATGCTAACAGCTGCAGGTATGTAGGTAATACTAATAGCTGCAGGTGATGCTAACAGCGGCACGTGTGTAGTAGGTGATGCTAACTGCTGCACGTGTGTAGTAGGTGATACTAACAGCTACAGGTGTGTAGTAGGTGATACTAACAGCTACACGTGTGTAGTAGGTGATGCTCACAGCTGCAGGTGTATAGTAGGTGATACTCACAGCTGCACGTGTGGAGTAGGTGATACTAACAGCTGCAGATGTGTAGGTGATACTAACAGCTGCAGGTGTGTAGTAGGTGATACTTGCAGCTGCATGTGTGTAGTAGGTGATGTTAACAGCTGCACGTGTGTAGTAGGTGATGCTAACAGCTGCACGTGTGTAGTAGGTGATGCTAACAGCTGCACGTGTGTAGTAGGTGATCCTTGCAGCTGCATGTGTGTAGAAGGTGATGCTAACAGCTGCAGGTTTGGAGTATGTGATTCTAACATCTGCAGGTGTATAGTAGGTGATACTAACAGCTACACATGCGTAGAAGGTGATGCTAACAGCTACACATGCGTAGAAGGTGATGCTAACAGCTGCACGTGTGCAGTAGGTGATCCTTGCAGCTGCATGTATGTAGTAGGTGATCCTTGCAGCTGCATGTGTGTAAAAGGTGATGTTAACAGCTGCACGTGTGTAGTAGGTGATGCTAACAGCTGCACGTGTGTAGTAGGTGATGCTAACAGCTGCACGTGTGTAGTAGGTGATCCTTGCAGCTGCATGTGTGTAGTAGGTGATACTAACAGCTGCACGTGTGTAGTAGGTGATGCTAACAGCTGCACGTGTGTAGTAGGTGATCCTTGCAGCTGCATGTGTGTAGTAGGTGATGTTAACAGCTGCACGTGTGTAGTAGGTGATACTTGCAGCTGCATGTGTGTAGTGGGTGATGTTAACAGCTGCACGCGTGTGTAGTAGGTGATCCTTGTAGGCAGCTGCTGCAGTTGTGTAGTAGGTGATGTTAACAGCTGCATGTGTGTAGTAGGTGATACTTGCAGCTGCATGTATGTGTAGTAGGTGATGTTAACAGCTGCGTGCGTGTAGTAGGTGATGCTAACAGCTGCACGTGTGTAGTAGGTGATGCTAACAGCTGCACGTGTGTAGTAGGTGATCCTTGCAGCTGCATGTGTGTAGAAGGTGATGCTAACAGCTGCAGGTTTGGAGTATGTGATTCTAACATCTGCAGGTGTATAGTAGGTGATACTAACAGCTACACATGCGTAGAAGGTGATGCTAACAGCTACACATGCGTAGAAGGTGATGCTAACAGCTGCACGTGTGCAGTAGGTGATGCTAACAGCTGCATGTGTGTAGTAGGTGATGCTAACAGCTGCATGTGTGTAGTAGTTGATGCTCACAACTGCATGTTTGGAGTAGGTGATAATAACAAGTGTAGGTGTGTGAAAAAATGATGACAACAGCAGCACCCCAGAAACAGCAAGGGTTTAAAGTGGACTTTTGTAGTTAGTTATCTCCCTTACCTCTGAAATATGGTGCTTCTCAAGTCAAGCTCTGGAAATGATATCTTGGACAGTTGGATGGTGCATGCTCACACACATCTACTGACAGCATCCGTTGTTGGCAAATTCAGCCCAAAACATTATAACGAAGTCTATAGGGTTTCAGAGAGAAAAAAAATATTTAAAACCATTTCATATTTCAATATTTTATTCCATGTAAGTATCACACAAAATTACGCACTAGGCATGGTACATAACAAAATAACAAGAAATAAATATCAGGTGTGGTAAAATAATACCATCTAGGAATCATCCATACTCTATCTGTCATGACCATATCCACCTAGCAAAATGATCTTAAACACCAAAAGGTCTGAGATATCACTGAGATATCTTACCATTTGTATCTGTACAGGCCTTCTCATGTGCCCCTCTTTTGTACAGGCCCAACGATGTGCCCTGTTTATATCTGTACAGTTCTACTGATGTGCCCCATGTTTGTATCTGTACAGACCCTCTGATGTGCCCTATGTTTGTATCTGTACAGACCCACTGATGTGCCCCATGTTTGTATCTGTACAGACCCACTGATGTGCCCCATGTTTGTATCTGTACAGACCCACTGATGTGCCCCATGTTTGTATCTGTACAGACCCACTGATGCCCCATGTTTGTATGATGATGTGCCCCATGTTTGTATCTGTACAGACCCACTGATGTGCCCCATGTTTGTATCTGTACAGACCCACTGATGTGCCCCATGTTTGTATCTGTACAGATCCACTGATGTGCCCTATGTTTGCAACTGTACAGACCCACTGATGTGCCCTGTTTGTATATGTACAGATCCACTGATGTGCCCTGTTTGTATATGTACAGACCCACTAATGTGCCCTGTTTGTATATGTACAGGCCCACTTATGTGAGGTGAGGTGAAATTGGGTTTAACGTCGTGCTTGAGAATATTTCGCTCATATGACGACGTGCATGCGTGTGTATGTGTATGTGCGGCTGCTTGTACTAGCCCAGACTTAAGATGGTTTTATAGTGCTAGCTCACTGAGATACCATGCCGCAGTGAAGCATGAATACCCCACTCAGACGGCCCACTTATGTGCCCCATGTTTGTATCTTTACAGGCCCACTGATGTGCCCCATGTTTATATCTGTACAGACCCACTGATGTACCCCCTGGTATCTGTACAGGCCTTCAAATGTGCCCCTCTTTTGTACAGGCCCACTGATGTGCCCTGTTTGTATTTGCATAGGCCTCTGTATCTGTACAGGCCCACCGATGTGCCTCTGTTTGTATCTGTATAGGCCCACCGATGTGCCTGTTTGTATCTGTACAGGCCCACTAATGTTCCCCGTTTTTATCTGTACAGGCCCACTGATGTTCCCAATTTGAATCTGTACAGGCCCACTGATGTGCCTCTGTTTGTATCTGTATAGGCCTACTGATGTGCCTCTGTTTGTATCTGTATAGGCCTACTGATGTGCCTCTGTTTGTATCTGCACAGGCCCACTGATGTGCCTCTGTTTGTATCTGTATAGGCCTACTGATGTGCCTCTGTTTGTATCTGAACAGGCCCACTGATGTGCCTCTGTTTGTATCTGTATAGGCCTACTGATGTGCCTCTGTTTGTATCTCTACAGGCCCACTGATGTGCCTCTGTTAGTATCTGTACAGGCCCACTGAATCTGTTCAGACCCCATTTGAATCTGTTCAGACCCACTGATGTGCCCCATGTTTGTATCTGTACAGGCCCACTGTGTGTGTGCGTGTCTGTGTGTCTGATATCCCATCATTTGTGTTTGTAGAGGCCAACCAATATGCCTGCTGCTTGTACATTTGTACAAGTCAACTGATGTGCACCATATTGGTATCACCAGTGACATGCTGCACTTAGTCTGACTTCTCCATGCCTGCTTCCCAGTGATGCTACAGGAGAAGCCATGGTGTTCAAAGACACATACAGATGGGTGCATACGCACAATATGTATAGCCAAAAGTAAATGTTTCACAGCATACAATTGGAACCAAGATACAGTATGTTCAAACCAGTTAAGCAACTATTACAAAGTGTTTTGGTAGTGATTGTCAGATCATGAACAGATTACAACCAGGGCCCCATTCCTCAATGCGATCGTAGCGCTAAGATGATCGTAACTCCCACACTTTAGCATAGATTGACGACTGTTTTAGCGCTACGATCACTTTGAGGAATGGGGCCCAGGTACTTAGCTACATAAAGAACATACTTGCCAAATATGGATGGCAAAGGTTTAGCCCCAAAACAATGGATGGATAAACCTTAGAATCCTAAACAATATCTATATTTTAAGGCGGCAAAATCATATTGACATGATTAGTAGACCACTGACATCAATAATGAGACCAGCTGTTTGCGAAACATTTTTGTACTAAATACTAGAACTGATTCATAATGATCTTACAATTTTCTAAAATCTACTTGATCGTAATATCTTGAACAGTCCTACTTGGTTACTTACAACACTGAATAAATACAGCAGCACTGTTATCATGAGTACTCTGATTGGATGCATTGTATTATGTCATTCTATGCTACAAGGTCAGTCGCTTATCCATCTATATATTCCAAGATATCACAGATATAATGCATCCTATATATTTTTCCAGCTAGAACTAGTATCTGACACTACAAAGGTAGAAAAGCATACATATTCGTACATATAACTTGGACAGTGTATTCAAAATGAACCATTTATGAAACATATCGGCAGCAACAAAGACATGGCCCACACAGTCCTGATATGTCTGGATATCAATGGCTTAACGAATCTAAAGACTACATCACCAGAACATCATTCAGCAACACAGATGAGCATGAAACATGAAACAGAACTTGGGACCAGCATTAAAATTGTTTTAAGGTACCTCCATATCTTTTTTGAATACCTCAGTGTCCAGGAATGGAAACTTAGCAGGAATGTCTACGTGCCTGAAAGTGACAACATAAAGCAATATATTCTACCATGTTACACATTCTACTTGTCCTTAGGAAACCTTTAACATCAGCTAAACTAGTCTGGGCTAGTGCTAATTTCCATCCCCGTTGATTGGTATTCACTACCAGTGCAGCCTATCAGCTAAGGGAGGTAACTCTGAACCACTGTGGCAGGATGATGTGCCACTGAACTCCACAAAGCTGCTGTACAGCACATATAACCATGAGCATGGTAAGGTTAGACATAAGACATAAGTGTGTTTACAAGGCTTTCTAATCGCTAATACTTGTTCTAACTATTCTAAACAAATCACACAAATCCTGAGATTAAAAGCACAATCTGTAACAGATGATTAATGGGAGATGACATAACACAGAGACAAAGTATCCTCGATACAGCATTCGGTCACTAGCTAAAGATTTCAACAACAAAAAAACACCCACTTCTACTAAATGTCTAGCTACCTGTAAGCTCTGATGGGTTGGACAAAATGGACTTGAATACTGGTACTCATATCTGAAAACTGACTCAGTCTCTTTCTCAGTAATTCACAAAGAGTCAGTATCTTTTCATTTTTATCAGCATTATTTAACTCAAGACCTGTGTCCAGATCTTGTACTGTTTCTCTACCATGACTGCAACATGTATGCTTGAGAAGAGAGGATGAGAGTTATCTCCCCTGATTGTGTACTCACTTGACCTGTGCTAGAGTACTCGTCTGAATACTTGTCAACTTTAATTCTCCTTCAAAATCAAGCATCAACAACTAGATCTACTCAAAGCAATATTCACAACAACTAAACATATCTGTATGAACAGGATTCATCTGTTGAAGATATAAGCAGACCAAAGAATCCCCCCCCCCCATCAACATCTTGCCATGCAAACAAGACCTCCAATGGCAGTAATTTCCACCTCACAACACTTTAGCAGTCATCAAGTGTGCACAGAACCACAGACTGGTTTCTGACTTCTACAGTTTTAATCATGATCATCAGTCACAAAACGTTGAAAAATATCCCCAAAACTGTTTCACATATACGATCATTTGCAAAAACAAGTCAGCTGTTAAACCAGTATTGTTAAACCAGCAAAAACTAAATCTTTGCTGACAAGAATAAATCACGTTGACAGTGTACAGGAAAAGTAACAAACTGAGCAAGAACTGTCCTTATAAGGAAGATACAGCTGGAAAGACTATCTATCCACTTTGAATATCATTTCAAATTATGTGACATACAACTCAAAATTGTTGAACAAGTTATTACTACGAACCTGGAAAAACAATAAACGAGGATGTTAAACATGTTACAGATGGACTCAACAGGCTGGTGCCTATTTCTAGCTTTAGTCAACATGGTCAATACATTGCAATTACAGCATTGTTGTGAATCTTGACCATTTCATTGTGTAAGTAGGGTAACAATTATTTGTGTAGTTAATCTCCTAAAAGTTACGATAATACTCAAGCAGGACACAAATATGCCCAAACTGTGGATGTGGATGCCATGGATCTCTGAAACCACAGGGTGTATACACTATCAACAACAATAAAACACTCTGACCGTCATTACATATGTGGTAAAGATCATTTAAGCATGTTTGGCTTGTTTTCAAAATACAGAAATCAGATATGTGAGTTGTAATTTGAAACCTTGATGGTGACTGGCTGACCAGAAGATTCACCTGAAGCAATTTCATACAGAGAGGTATTTTATCTGAGTAAAAGGTTCAAATTTAATGTAACTCATATCAGACATATACAATATTCTATGACTGTCAATGAAAGGTATTGCTGTCTATTAACTAACCACTTTACCTAACCATGTTAACCATGCAATAGAGAAACTTTCATAATTTTTCACAAATACATACCTCTAGACATGGAAATCACTTTGGAGATTCCAAATACTTCAATTAATATCAGTATGAAAACTTGGAAATCTCATCAATTATGGAACAATGATGGCAATATGGAAATTCAATCATCTTGGCAAGTGTGAAATGAAAATTGGTCAACATAACAGTTCCCCCTCAGATCTTTGTATAGCAACATACCGTTGCAACCACCACAGCATTACCAGGTACCCCTTAACATGTTAAAACACATGTTCACACTATTATCTCAATCTAACAAGCAACCATTACAGTAGTTCAAATAATAACAAGACCTCACATGTAAATGGCCCTCTGGTGAACACCACCGGTGAAGTCATTCAGTCTGGTGAGGCCATGTGGAGCTGTGAATCAGGGAGACATGTTCTAACACTGACAACTTGTACTCATTCCGTTTCACCATAGCAAATAAAATACGTTTACAACAAAAACAAAGAAGCGATGACATGTCTCCACTGTAGTGCAAAGGAGGAAATAGAAAGGTTCAACCTCAATTCATTTGAAAGATTATTCTTGTAAGACGTGCTGAGGTCCGCTTTTGGGTCAAATTGGAAGAACTGTCTGAACAGTCAACAACTTCAGTCTTTTTGCCAATAGACAAGCAAGCAAACCATGATGTTTTGGCTATCATGTTAGATCAAAAGTATGCTTCCATTCTTTCTTGAAGCAGTCAAGATAGTCATACAGTCTGTGGTCACATGATTCATTCTGACAAACACGTTTCTTAGTGCATTACCACTGCCCTTGAAAGTCACTCAATACAGTTTATCTGTCTAGAGAGACGCTCCACAACATCACGCAGTCCACACCAGATATTCCAGTTCAGGGGCTCCTGTGGCCACTCTCTGTCTAGAGAACACTCCACAACATCAAATGGTCCACTTATGACTTGATGCAAGTGCAGGCAACCTTGTAGCCACCATTTGTCTAGAGTGAGTGAGTGAGTGAGTTAATATTTAACGTCACATCGGCAATACATTTGTATAGAGAGCCACTAGACAACATAAAGTGTCCACACCAGACATCACAGGAGCCACTGTGGCCACCGTATGTCTAGAGAGCCACTAGACAACATAAAGTGTCCACACCAGACATCACAGGAGCCACTGTGGCCACCATATGTCTAGAGAGCCACTCTACAATATCACAACATCTGCTCCAGAATTCACGCAAGTTCTGGGGCCCCTGCCGTCACCATCTGTCTGGACAGCCACTCCAGCCCATCACAAAGTCCATACCCACTCTTGGCTTCACATGCCTGAATATGCCAGCTCCTGTTACAGCACAGCTTGAACAGACCAAACTGCTCAGTGATCTCCTCTATAGTTGCACATCCTTCGATGTCCTGAAATACAAGAGTCTCAGTATAGTCTACAGTGGCCTGAAATCTCCAGTCTTCTCAAGACAAACAAATGGTACATATGCATGATATTTTTTTTGATATGTGGAATGTGCCTTGCCAGTGTAAAATAGCAAAACAATCAACCAAGTCAGTGAGTCTGACAGACCCGTGAAGGTCTGGGTTAGGATATTGATCTTCAGTAACCCATGCTTGTCATAGGAGGTGACTAACAGGATCGGGTGATCAGACTCGCTGACTTGGTTGACACATGTCATCTGTTCCCAATTGTGCAGATCGATCCTCATGCTGTTGATCACTGGATTGTCTGGTCCAGACTCGATTATTTACAGACTGCCGCCATATAGCTGGAATATTGCTGAGTGCGGCGTAAAACTAAATTCACTCACTCAGTGAGTCTGACCACCAATTCCACTCTGTGGCCTTTGACAACAAGCAATTGTGTCCAATTCTAACCTACATTCCACTGGAGTGGCTAGTGAAGTTCTGGCCCAACAAAAACAGTGGCTGAGGCCCACTGAGTACTCACCTGTTTGCTGGCAAAGATGAGCAGTGAAGCCTCCTTTAGTTCCTTCTCCTGGACCAGTTTGGCTAGTTCACTGTGGGCCTCTGACAGACGCTCCTTGTTGCTGCTGTCCACCACATAGATCACAGCTGCAAACAATGGACTCAGCTTAACACAAGCATGACTAGCCAGCATTATTACAGCCTTATCATACATAGCTCCTTGTTGCTTCTCTCTCACACCAGCTGCAAACCCAACATGCACTTCTAAACTGTGCCCTTACCTTGAGTATTAAAGTAGTAATGTTTCCACAGAGGTCGGATCTTATGCTGCCCTCCCACATCCCAAATGGTGAACTTGAAGTTCTTGTATTCCACAGTCTCAACATTAAAACCTGGAAAAAACCAATTGAGTTCATCATTCAGAATCAAGAAAAATGTGAATCTTCTGAGTAAAATGCATCATCAACATGAGATTTCTGCAGGAAACATGTTTCCACGTGAATGGAGCTGCCAATTATTAAAACTAGTATTGTTCTGTAAAACCAGAGGACAACAGATTACGTTTTTTAACATTCCCAGCCTGAACCAAGAAGTAAGTTTAAGAATATCAAATGGTCAGGCTGTTGACTGATGTGACTATGTTCATTAACATACCTATTGTAGGTATAGTCTGTATGAACTCATTCTGTTTCAGCTTGAAGAGAAGGCTAGTCTTCCCTGCTGCATCCAGGCCTAGCGTCACTACCCTCATCTCTATCTTGGGCCCAATGTGTACTCGGTTGTCCTAAAGGGCAAACAGTTATTGCATATTAACATGGTCAAAAAGCAGAAGTAATGTCATCATAGAAATTATTGACAACTGAAATTACTAACAACTAAAGGTACAATGATATGGGAAATCTGGTTTCGCACATTGATCAATTTTCTAACTGTGTAAATATAAAAACAATGAACAAAGACACATAAACAACAGATCCAGGTCACTTGTAGCTCCTTAGGGACCGTTCATAATTTATGGCTTTTTTTTCTTCTCTTTTTTCTTTGGGGAGGGGGGGTGAAAAGAAAGAAAGAAAAAGCATTGATTTGGGGGCACCCATTTTGTTCTGGGAGCTGGGGGTTGTCAGCAATTTTGTACACACGTTTGGGGGTTCAGCAATTTTGTACCTAAAACTATGTTTAAAACTATGCTTAGAAATTATGGGAAGGGAAGGGGGGTCATTGATATTGTAAATGACATGCAGGGGGTCACTTATTTTGTACATAAATTTTAGAGGGGGCCATTCACATTGTACATGCTTCTCCATAAAATCATCATCACCCCCCTTAGCCATAAATTATGAACGGTCCCTTATAAGCATGGTTCAATGTTCTCTTGAACTATGGAAAATTCTTAAAGATAAGTTGATAATGTTCATTTTTACTGAAACTGGTACTGGATATATTTTGAGTTGAGATAACAAAAGGGGGCTAGTTAAACTTGTATCAGTTAAGTCATAATCTAAGGGGAGTAACTCTATACAGTTGAATATTTTCATATGCTTTTTGACCTTCCTTCTTCAAATTTTTACGTCAAAAATATGGCGAGAGACTGATACATCTATTTTAAATAAACATTGAATGTTTAGTTTGTGTAAAGATAAAATATACAAATGCAGAGCTGCATAAATTAAATGCTAAATATTTCAATTTGAATTTCTATCTTCAGTATGCCAATTCACCATGTTCAATATGGTAATATCATCAAAGTAAACATTTGTGTTGCAGAGAATTATTCATTTAGAATTTTGTTTCAGAACAAGAAGAAACTGATTGTTGTGTGTGATCTTTCCCTTCTAAACCACTTTCAGCAATATTCCAGCTATGTTACTGACTCCTGTAAAATAGCTGAGTTAGAGTGAGTGAGTCTAGCTTTACGCCGCACTCAGCAATATTCCAGCTATTTGGCGGCAGTCAGTAAATCATATATACTAAATAATCGAGTCTGGACCAGACAATCCAGTGATCAACACCATGAGCATCGATCTGTGCAATTGGGAACCGATGACATGTGTCAACCAAGCCAGCGAGCCTAACCACCCGATCCCACGGGTCAGCTGAGTTAGAACCAGGCAAACCAGTGACTGAAAACATGAGCAATGATTCACTAGATTGTGTACAGTAAACAAACCTGTGCACTTTAAAAAAACCACTAATCTGTTGGTATATGACCAGATGGTGGCCACATGAATGCGTGCAAACACCTAGTTGTGGGTACAGCAACGTGCAGTAAACCTGGACAAAGTACTGTGACTATGTGTCCCAGTCCACCCAGCTGTGAATGGGTAATAGTAATAGTCCGCTTATATGGTGCTCCTATCCAGGCACATTGCCTGCTCACGGCGCTATGCACATTACTATCCCCGGTCATAGGACACTTTCGTACTTTCCGATACTTTGTCAACTCCATGGGGAGCATACAGCCAGGCTGCCTGTTAGGCGCAATGAAATTAACACTCATCTCATAAGGATGGGAAAGCCGCAATAACTCGGTGCGCCTTGTGGCAGCAAGAGTTGTATGCTCCCCAGGGAGCTGTGATTGATAATAAGATGTGCCGTTGAGATTCACATCCAATGGTCAGGGGAAAATTACCAGCGCCTTGAGCATGCACTAGTGCGTGGATATGTGCGCTATATAAATATTCAATCATAATAATAATAACTCCATCACAGCATAATAGCTGTTTGAATAAGAGTGATCCACTCATTGTCACTGGCCGATTAGAGTGAGTGAGTGAAGTGGGTTCCACACCGCTTTTAGCAATATTCCAGCAATATCACCAGAAAATGGGCTTCACACAATGTACCCATGTGAGGAATCGAACCCGGGTCTTCGGCGTGATGATTGAATGCTTTAACCACTGGGCTACTACACTGCCCTTGGCCCATTAGAACAAAATATGTTTCAAAGCCTTGGTAGACTATGGCACCCACCTTGGTAAATGTGATGGGAATGGTTGGGTCAAGAGCCAGCTGATCTGGGAGATCCAGGAACTGTTGTTGCTGTTTCTGTATTGTGTCCAGTAAGTTATTCACATCGGGCTTGGCCAGTAACACCTTAGTGTCATCCTGGAATGTAAAATGTTTACCATGGTCAAATTTGTTTCGTATTGATAAGTATTAACTCCAAATCCTCAGTCTCTAGATCACATGATCATAATGACATACAAACATGTTTCCATCTAACTAATTATAAATATTCAGATAAAAAAACATCTTCTATTTTCAATACAACCTAAAAAGTTAATTTGTTAGCATTAGAAATCATAAAGAGTAAAATTGAAAATCTTGTCCCAGTTGGTTAACCTGATCAGCAGAGTGAAATGTGTACCTGTTGCAGCGCCCCTTCACATTGGTGACAGACAGAGGAGATCTGGGACAGCAACATCGTCATGTCCTCTTGCTGCTGTCGGAGCATGCACAGCTTCTCCCGAATGTGGGTGTCCACTGCTGTCAGTGCAGCGATCTCCTGGCGGTTCAAGTTCTCACGCAGATCATGGAAGTACTGTTTGATCTTCAGCCGAGACTGTTCAGCTGTGCCAGGGATCTGTCAAGAGAGACCATTACTGAGAAAACTGAGCAGATTATTGAAATGCAAAGCAGAGAACCACAACCTGTTTAAAATACATCAGTATACTTTCCATTATCCCCATTGCTGAGATCATCATCATCATCCTTGTGCTATGGGTTTTCAGTCACTTATGAATAGCCATTGTCTCGATTATTCAGCAGGGATAGAAGGTAATTTTCTGACTAAAATTGATATTTTATACTTATCCTGACTCATGTTTTATGCTTGTCTCCTTCTTCTTGCGAATGATAGTGGAACACTCGAAATCCCTTGAAGTTCCCTTCTAAAAAGCGGGCGTAAAATCATCACTCACCCACGAGTCATCACTCACCCCACGAATAGTGGGTCCCCACGGGCTTGCGATGAGCGGGAAATTGAAATTCCAAATCGGAAGAACACAAATGGTCTTGAGTCTGACCACCGATGGGCGGAGGCTGCAGAAACATCTCGTTGAAGACCTTCATGTTGAAGATTAGCCTCAACTTGTCCGAATCCTTCTTGGGAACCAGAAAGATTGGAGAATAGAACCCCGGGTCGATCGGGTCGGACCCAGGGATTCGATCGCAAGCTTCTGGAGTAAGGTGTCTATTGTGGATCAAAGAATAGCCATTTGCTGAGTGGGATACGTTCTGTGATCCGGAAGTAAAGTGAGAGGAGGATCCCCGATGATCGGCAGCTGGAACCCCTTGGCTAATGTGGAGAGGATGTAAGGGTCGCCCAAGATGGTCCAGTTGGGAGCATAAGACCCAAGTCTGCTGCCTACTGGGGAGGTCTGGAGCATCTTGACCAACTCTGGTGGCAACATCCCTAATCGCCCTGTTGATAAGAGACCTGCCAGACCACGGCTGACGACAAAGGTCTGTGCGGAACCTATCCTCCCATGAGGATAAGTGCAGAGGCCCCCTGCAACGCATAGCTGTGACGTACGAAAAGAAGTGAGCCAACTGATCCAAAATGGTCTGAAATTGTTCTTGCAATAGTACCATCGCTGCCCGAATATATGCCTGTTGATGGGACGAAGCATGTGCAACCGACATAGCCACCGCCTCAGTAGTCGTCAACACCATGTTGAGTGGAGCCATAATCTTGTTAATGACACCATCCAAATGCAAGAGCTCACGATCCTGGACCAGGAACAGCGAGTAGGCTTTCTGTTTGGTTCCCAACAACCTAATATCATCATCCACCGGAGGGGAGACGATCAGGGTAGAGAAGCCATGAACATGAACAGATGCTAAATTGAAGCGGGGAGCCACGAACCCATCCTTAACCTTCCTCAGGTTACAAAAAGCCTCATCCAGAGACAGCTGCCAAGTGAGTGACGCAAGGGCGAGGCGGGAAAGTGATAGAACCAAAATCACCTGGTTTCATGTCAAAACTGGATAACAAATCTGAAGGTGAACTACTACGCTGTAGTCGGAGGCTATCGGCAGTCCAGACTAGTAATTGAAGAGTGTCCACAGCATCAAGGCTAACATCCGAAGGCGACGTACCATCTGAAGAAGGAGATGGTGTAGCCGAACGATGAACATCCACCAAAGGTTGAGCTGGATTGGCCGTAGGACCAGATGACTGAATAGCAGAGGAAGACACTGGCTCCTGATGCCATAAAGCCGAGGCTACCGCTAGCACAATGGCGTCAAAGACAACAGGTAGAGAAATCGAATCCTCTGACACCGGAGATTCCAGGAGACTGGTAAAAGAGGTCTCACCACAGACCCCGTTGGAGGAGGCAAAGACGAAACAGGAGCAGACAAGGAAGGATGACGAGGCACCCCACCAAGAAAAAACGAGCAACCAGCTGACTGAGACAAGTTCCCATGACTAAATGATGAAGACCTAGTGTCCCTCACACTAACCGCTCTAAGCGGGAAACCAAACCCCGCTGTGACAGTTCCACAGGAGGAAACAGTAGTACTCCCCCAAAGTGGCGCTTCCACCGCTGAAGACGCATAGGAAACATACGACGCACTGGGAATAAGCGGAGCACCGGGAACCAAAGTATCAGAAGAAACAAGCCCCGAGCAGGTAGGAAGCGACGCATTGAAAGCCAGAGTTGAGCTGAGTGTACCAAGTGCCGAACCAGACACACCTGAAGTGAGCGCTGAACCCTGAGCAAGCGCCGAACCGAATGCACCATGAGGAAGCACTGAAGCCAGTGCTCTGTGAGTAAGCGCTGAACTGGGAGCACAGTGAGTAAGCGCCGAACCGGTAGGAAACAAGAGCGCCGAACTGGAAACAAGCGGCGGCGCTCTGAATGAAAGCATGGAATCGGGACCAAGCGGTGCTCTACAAACAGGTACCTGTCCTGTTGTAAGCGGTGCTTCAGAGGAAAACGACGCACTAGAATAAAGTGGTGGTCCGTAACCACAGGGTACAGGATAAGGGATAGATGTGGAAAGGGTTGCACGGGGAATCATCGGCAAACTTGTCGACCCCACCGGAGGTTGAGAAAGCGCCAAACCGAAACTATCCACTGTACCAGAACCAAGTGTCATTGTAGACACAAGCACCAAATGGGAAGCAGAAGCAGAACCAACCACCGAAGTGAAAAGCGCCGAACTGCAAGCAAGCGGCATATGAGAGGAAACATTAGGAACCACACCAAGCGCCGCAGAAGAAACACACACCGCAGGACCATAAGGGCGCTGAGAAACAGTTACCACCGAAGACGGACGGGGTTGAACAGCAGATGTAGACAAAAGTACAACCCTAGGTGGTGAAGAGTCCTTTAAAGTGATGGGGCTAGAAGCATGCGGACGGAAAAGGCGACGCAGATTTTCCCTGAGGTAAGAATCAGACGCCTCCCCTAGGAAATCTTCAGTAGGAGACGGGGACTTCGAACGTCGAACTGCAGTTTTCTTACGGCGTTCTGCCTTACGACGTTTAGACGCAGACTGACCTACAGATGGGTTACGGCGATTCCTATCTGACATGCATCTACAAGCTACCCGGCAATATTCAGAGAAAGCATCGTCGTCGAGGCCAGCACAGAAAGTGCAACGTTGAGACCAATCACAACGACCTAAACAATCTACACATAAAGCATGTGGGTCTGCCGCCGAGAAATTACTGTTACAATTGTCACAGTGTTTGTGCTTCTTAGAACCATTACGATTTGATTTACCCATTGTTGAAACACAATCAAACTTTTTTAGAGACAAGCACACGTCCATACGACGTAGCGAGAAGAAAGAGAGGCTTACAGAGACAGCTAAACACACTGGAATCCTACTGCTCAGAATCAGGACTACAACTGAATTTTAATAAATCCAAGATTATAGTTTTTAGAAATGGTGGAAAACTGGCACAGAATGAAAAATGGACTTATAAAGGACTGCCTATCGAAACCGTCACCTATTACAAATACCTTGGACTTATCTTCTCATCACTACTGGTATGGACAAAAGCATGTGACACTCTCGCACAGCAAGCTAGTAAGGCATGCCTCGCAATAAATAGATTCCTACAGAAAAATAAAGAAGTAACGTTTTCAACTGCATGTTCGATATTCGACACTAAAGTTTTACCAATACTCCTCTATGGAGCAGAAGTGTGGGGATGCAAGTATTCAGCTTCAATTGAAAAAGTTCAGTTAAACTACTTTAAACACCTTCTCAAAGTTGGAAAATTTGCTTCAAACAAGGCAATTCTTGGCGACACTGGAAGACATTTGATTTATATATCAACACAAGTAAAGGCCATCAAGTACTGGATAAAAGTTCTACGAATGACAACCGATCATGCGCACACCAGTGTTACCGAATGCTTAAATCACTTTCGATGATGTAGGAAAAAGAAACTGGACCTCTAATATTAGAGAAACATTGTCCAAGATAGGATTCTCATATGTATGGATCGCACAGGATGTCGGAGATGTAAATAATTTCTTATCATGTTTAAAACAGCGCCTCAAAGATATATCACACCAAAACTGGCATTATAAGATAAACAGTTCAAGTTTCCTTACCCACTACGCTTCATTCAAGTTTTCACTGGAAAGAGAATCATATATCACAAACATCAGGAACAAACAACTAATAAAAGTCTACTTCAAATTTAGAGCTTCGCTAACAAACTTTAAGATAAACAAGCTAAGAACCAATAAAGATACAACGGCAATCAACCCCATCTGTGGACTTTGTAATCATAATCTTAATGAAGATGAGAACCATGTATTTTTTGTTTGTGACAAGTATAATCAAGCCAGAACTCTACATCTACAGAAGCTACATCAGTCCACAGAGGCCCACTTACCATTCAGGCAATTTTCATGTCACAAAATAGTAATGTACAGCATCTAACAGCTATCTATCTCAATGAGATATTCAAAATAAGATCAATATGAAACTCAAATGTTTATGATCACGTGTAATTTAAATTGTATATGTCAACTGTATCATAGGCCTTATGGCCCAAATACTACTGAATAAACTTCTCTCTCTCAAGAGAAGAAAGAGAATAACAGGCACAGGCCGTCACGTGATCATCTGAGCGATCTGCATGCTTATTGAGATGATTGACAGGTACTGCTATCGGATTTGGGGCAGAGGTCGGGGGGTCAGAGGCCAGATAACTTTTGATTCAACTTAGCCTACAGCACGTTTCCACACATGGTCGTAGAAGAAGAAGAGAGGTGCATACCGTGACATAGGATAAGTTTAAAAATTCAATATTTACCGTGCCATGGCACACTAATATATGGGGTATTTCGAACCCTGTATTGCTTGAACAATTGTACAACATGTCACCAACAAAAAAAGATACTTTATCCAAAACACAAGCTATCATTCAAGAATCTACAATGTCTGTGTACCCCTGAATACCCCTCATGGTAAACCTGCCATCCAAAAACCTATGATCCTGTGATACATAAGAGATTAACAACATGCTAGGAAACAAACTTACTTGAACCCTTATGGATTCGGTTGTCCTAAGAACAGACTCAGCTAAAAACAAACAACAGCCAAAATGTTCAGGGCAAACATACACCATACTGGTTTAGTGACCATATTATCGTGTTTCACTGAGTATGATTTTACATTGCGTTCACATACAGCAATATCCCAGTAATGTCATGTGATAGAACACCTGAAACACCTTTATACATAGTACTCATGCAAGGAATAAAACCTGAGCCATGACGATGATGACATAACACTGTAACCACTTGGCTACACCATTGTCCTGAGTGTAATTTATGTAGTTACCAAATCTCATGCAGCCAGTATAATAAAGACGGATATCTTTAAACAATTCATAATTTCATATTCTGATCATAAAAACAAACCAGGAGAAACAGTAGATTTTCTTCCTTCTGCTTACACTTTTAGAAATGTTAGCAAAGGCTCATAAAAAAAGAAGAAGGTTGTCTGGCCTAATAACGGTTGGAACATGTTGAATGAACGTTAAAAGTACTCCAAGGTAAACTGGAGGAGGACCCCCACCTGTTGTGTGGAAGAGCTGCCGTCAGTTGATGTGATGACATGCAGTCCCCCCTCGATGTGCTGGATGACAGACCCCAACTTTCTGGCAGACTCTGCCACCTCCTCTGCAAAGGATCGGATTCTCTGCACAGCGCTGATTATGGACGATCTCACATTCTCTGCCTCATTCTCCAAGAGAGCGTGCTGTAATATAGTGTAAAAGGATTTCTCAATGAATTATGGCTACAGACAAGAGCGAGAGGTGTTTTAGCAGAACTGATGTCCTGGGTCTGGGCAGACATACACATGATAACCCTAAATACACCACACATGACACAGCTGGCTCAAGAGTTATGTCCATCACTGTGAACAGGGGCAAAAACTTGATTAAAAGTATTAGTCATCATAAACTGAATTTAATCCTAAAGACTTGTCAAACAGATATGAAGGTAAATTTATAGATCGCTCAAGGCAATCATGTGTCAGTTTTACCTTGTGTTTGGTGTGTCTGCCATAGTCTTTACATATGTAGCACATGAGGGGTGTCGTTTTGCATTCCTCTTCCAGACAGGCAAACTCAACCAGGTGCATCGGATGAAACACACACTTAGGGTTCTCACGGGGCTTCTCTGATATCGGCACTCTTTTATGTCTGGCCAGGGTCCGTGTGGAGTGTGATGTCTCCGAACAGTCCAGACACAGATGTGTGCTGCACACTATACAGAAGATGACCGCTGTATGGTGCTCATTCTCATCACAGGGAATGGCAAACTGGAAATAAACAAAGCACTGAGTGAAACTTAACTTACAACTAAGTTCTGTTTAATGGCATCAAGTTTGAGCTTCACACATTGCACTGCATTACACATGGGAACCAAATCTTGGACTTTACTACAAAGATACCCAACCTGAGCTGAAACTCAAGTAACTGTATCACTGAAGACATCTTTGCACATTCATTGTTTTCTTCTAAAACATGTGAAACCAAATCAGATATATTGTACAATGTTAGAATAAAATAAACTATTAGTATAAGTCATGCTAGCAGAAGCCATGGAGAAATTTGATTAAATGCAAATGCGAAATGAAAATGAAAATATCAAGAAAGTATGTTCACTATTTCAATTGATAACACTTGGATTAGCATTACATTAAAACAAAATTCTCACAACTTACACAATTTACACAACTCTCTTAGACGATAAATTAAAAAGTGTCTCCAGATGTAAGTTGGGACAAAAAATTACAATTAAGTTAGCTGACACACGATAGTAGTCATATAACAGGAAGCAACTCAAGAAATCCATTGTGAACATGGTACACCATTTAAACACATGGATTTCTAATCATATTCATTTCACTGCCCAAGTGTTTTTCAGTAATTAAATAAAAAATTACAAACCCCTTCCTCTCGGTTCAGAGCTTTTTCTGAAATGGCCCAGTTTTGGCTTTGCTTTGGATACTGGATTTTTTCCAGCAGCTCAAGTAGGGCAAAGTTTTTCTTGAGTCCCCACACACCAGAATCTCCAATTTCTGTTGGCTGTCGGTCAAATGGACATAACACAGAACGACCATGGAGTGGCAGGCGAGTGAGACACTGGTGGCAGCATGTATGGCCGCAGACCAACAACCGGGGTACCTTGTCACCTTGGAATCGGAAAACTTCATTACAGACCCGGCATTCACTTGTCTGAAATCAATATAAACATTCATTCATTTTACACAATTTCAAGTGAGAGGGTGAGTAAGAGAGAATGTCAAAGGACAGGTGGAACCTACCCTTGCCCATACACAACGAACCCTAAAGAAATTGGAACCTGCAACCCGAGCCTATTTGACCAGACTAAGCTGCACCCGGTAAATTGATGCCTTTCCCGGAGCGACGTAGTAACGACTTTAAGATGTCCAACAGTAAAAGAGGAACAGTAACAAGGCTTACGACAACGCAGTGTTTGACATTCACTCTGTTCATACATATTACAACTGTCAAAATCAGAAATGACAACCTTCCCTTTTGTTAAAGGTACAAACATTTCTTTACTATGCATCTAACTATTTGCAGTTTCAACGTACATTTTCTGGTTCACTCTGATTCAGAGGGGTTGTTACATTGACAGTATTATAGACCCTCTGGCCACCAGACGCCATGTTGGAAGTTTACACTCTCCGCAGTAACGTATATTCCATGTTATCTCAGACCAATCATCAAAATATATCCCATATGATTTCATATACTAGATTTTGCTCTCAGACGACAATGATAATCTTCATTTTCTATACTATTCAATGGTCACATTTAAAATAGGAAAAATACAAAACCGGAAGTAGTGCCCGTTCTCCGCGGAGCTGTAATTCAAGCAATCATGGAGGGCGGAAGAGAACGAGAACAGTTGTTGGCATTGAAAGGTAGGTGTATTTACAAGTTTCTTCTTCTTATATGAACACAAACATTGGATTATAGAGTACACCAAAAACATATAATTGTGCTCCCTTAATATGACGATAACTGGACAAGTGGGTTTGTTTATTTTGGCATATACCTGTGTTCGCATCAATCGTTCCTTGGGATCTGTAGCAGTCGACGTTTGCTAGCAGACGATTATTTCCAGTTTTTCCGTGAACGATTTTTCTGTGACACAGATATGATATCAGCCAAATGTAATTATTGCCGACTTATGATTTTGCCTATTGAATTATGATGTGACAGTTTGTCTTTTTGACGTTCAGAGCATCTGAAGGTACTTTTCTTTTTCGAGGACTCAGCATAGTACCTAGTCTTATGGATTTTCGGACGCTTAAGAACATCAGTTGTTTTCTCGATTGTCGTAGGAACAATTTAACACATGTCACTAATTAAGAAAATATTACCTTAAACACAACCCATCATCCGATTATTTACAATGTCTTTGTGAGGCAACCCACCTCATTATTGCGAGAGTGAACGCTGTCGTCAGAAAACATATAATCCGACAATATTTGATTTCATGAAAGTAAATGATTTACAGATATGTAACCACAATACAGGATATAATTAATGACCATGCAACCCACCTATTTCACTACAATCATAGACAAATAAGAGATTTAGCCTTTTATGGTTAAGAGGTGTAACACTGTCAAAGCTGCTGACTTGACAGTGCACACAACCGACCTATCAACTTTTGGTTCATGTGAAGTACCGCACACTTATCACAACAAACTTGTTATTCAGAATTTGGTGCCTATGTTATGATGTAAAACAATCTAAAATAGGTAATTACTCCATAAACATTTATGATTTGTGAATAGGGTTTCAACTTCAATTATTGGAGTTTTCATGCAGGCCTGCAGAAATGTTGTATGTGTCATACTCAGTTGTTCATTCATTGGGAGCCATTCACTGAAACTCTGTGAAAGTACCAGCAAATGTGGCTGTGGAATGCAAGAGTATGCAAGGATAATTCAACAGACTGAACATGGTCAAGTAGGCTTATGCTGGCCAATATCAGTAGGTAAGGAAAACGAGCGAACACTTGTTCTTTGTGATACTGAAGTACAATGTAGTAATGACCTTTAATACAGATTTATTTTTGATCAAAAGTAAACTATGAACCAATTTGTTTCTGTTCCACTAATGCATGCTTTCTTTCTGATACTAACATATCTAAGATATTTTGTAATTATGACAATACCCACACTATCAAATTTTTGGTGTATTCCCATACTGCCTACAGGTTAAAACAACATGATACGGTCCAGTGATCAAGGAAGTGAATACACCGATCTGACCTGTTCTACCCCTGCTAAAATGAACTTGACAAGTTAGCTGGTTAATACTATGGTGTCTTCCCACTCTGCCTACAGAAGTTTAAAAAAATGACAAGTGTTGGTTTTCTTTTCCCACGCTGCCTACAATGTTTTTGTTGGCAGTTTCGGATATAGGCAGTTTGGAACTGTAGGCAGTATGGGACCTAACCAAATTTTTAGCAAGCTCAGGCCAGACCAGTTTCTTTTCTTGTTTTTAGATAAGCCTTCTGTTGATTCGGTTTAATCAACACAATGAGGGCAAAGGATGTAATCCTTTGTATCTATCAATACTGGAATTACACCATATCTAAATATAGATGAACTACCTGGTGTAAAGAAACAAATCAAGAGGCTAACTAATGAAAAGAGATTTTTAGAAATGAGTGAATTCATTTGTTTTCATGTAATGTTTGTTTCCCTCAAACTGAAATGCTAAGTCAAACAAAAACATTTTCCCATGTCTCTTATCACATTGATAATCTGTAAAACAAGAACTGAAATAGACCTGGACAGTGCTAAAAATAATTTTACTAATAATATTTGACTCATGAGGTAAGTGCTTCTTTGAATGTTGATTGATGCTGATATTGATTTTATTCATTGTATGATAAGCAGTTCAAAAGCCCAAAATATACTTGTGATGAATCTGTTTTTGGGTGTGTGTTTTTGCAATATGTCACTATAGATAGATCTATGGTTATCTTTGGTAATTTAAAAATGCTGTTTTAATACAAAGACTCAGGCATTTTAAAATGAAAAAGACACGAGACTGGCTTTACAAGATGAAGAATATATGTGATTGGGACTTCTGTTAAGCTAACAGGTGCAAATGTACTTGTTGTCAGTGTTGTTATCTGTTTTTCATCTTCACATAGCACCTATTTATCATGTTTATATTGCAGTTGCTGCAAGAGCTATTTGAGATACATGTTGGATTTCTGGACTAGCAATATATATCTTTTATTCTCACATATACTGTTGCATGGTACTTATACTGGTACATGGCATTTGTACTGGTACATGGCATTTGTACTAGTACATGACATTTGTACTGGTACATGGTACTTATATTGGTGCATGGCATTTGTACTGGTACATGGTACTTATACTGGTACATGACATTTGTACTGTTACATGGTACTTATACTGGTACATGGCATTTGTACTGGTACATGGTACTTATACTGGTACATGACATTTGTACTGTTACATGGGTACTTGCATTACTGGTATACTGGTACATGGTACTTATACTGGTACATGGCATTTGTACTGGTACATGGTACTTATACTGGTACATTGCATTTGTACTGGTACATGGTACTTATACTGGTACATTGCATTTGTACTGGTACATGGTACTTATACTGGTACATGACATTTGTACTGTTACATGGTACTTATACTGGTACATGGCATTTGTACTGGTACATGGTACTTATACTGGTACATGACATTTGTACTGTTACATGGTACTTATACTGGTACATTTGTACATTTTGTACTGGTACATGGTTTGTACTGGTACATGGTACTTATACTGGTACATGGCATTTGTACTGGTACATGGTACTTATACTGGTACATGGCATTTGTACTGGTACATGGTACTTATACTGGTACATTGCATTTGTACTGGTACATGGTACTTATACTGGTACATTGCACTTTGTACGGTACATGGTACTGTTACATGGTACTGATATTGGTACATGGCATGGTACTGTACTGGTACATGGTACTTATACTGGTACATGGTATTTGTATTGGTACATGGTACTGATATACTGGAACATTGCATTTATTGGTGCATGGTACTGATATTGGTGCGTGGTACTGATATTGGTGCATGGTACTGATATTGGTGCATGGTACTGATATTGGAACATGGTACTGATATTGGAACATGGTACTGATATTGGAACATGGTACTGATATTGGTGCATGGTACTGATATCGAAACATGGTACTGATATTGGTGCATGGTACTGATATTGGAACATGGCACGGATATTGGTGCATGGTACTGATATTGGTGCATGGTACTGATATTGGTGCATGGTACTGATATTGGTGCATGGTACTGATATTAGAACATGGTACTGATATTGGAACATGGTACTGATATTGGTGCATGGTACTGATATCGGAACATGGTACTGATATTGGTGATATTGGAGACATTTTTGACGAAATTAGAGGTCATTTTCGTGTTAACTGGCAAAAGTTTAATTTCAAACTTCGTCTGAAAGACGATAGTTTTAAGCACATGCTCCAAAACATCCCTCCAATCGTTAGTAATCAAGGGGAAATCCTGATGACGTTCCTTTTCTCTGATTGGTCAATTGTGGACACACATGTCGCATGTTCCAAATAAGGTAGTATGTTACTACGACTGCCACAACTTTAACACACACGATCGGTGAGTTGTATTTTGCTTGTCGCTTGATTTCAATCTTGTTTATTTGACTTGCTTAGCTATGGCTGTAAGGAGAATGGTGTATGATGATTTGTATGAGTTGTGTAGAGATGAGAGAAAGTTGATGGATTGGTTGGAAGCGTTTGGTTTGATTAGAGATTTCAGTAGGAAGTGTGTTAAGTGTGACAGTGGGAGTATTGGGAAGCAGAAGGATTCGAGTCGGAGTGAGGGTTATGTGTGGCGTTGTTTGAAAAAAAATATGCTATTATAAGATTGTAGCAAAACGTGATTCTTGGTTTTTTAATTGGTTAGTGAAATTATGAAATTTACATTTTATCGGGTTTATCATGTGAAGGAGAATTTTGTGAAAGTGCAGTTGCGTCTGGGATCAGATCATACTTTAGTTAACTGGATTAATTATTGCAGAGATGTGTGTTTGTTTGTGATGGAAGAGGAGAATGAAATGATAAGTGGGCCAGGGATTGAAGTGGAAATTGATGAGAGTAAGTTTGGGAAGCGCAGGTTTCACCAAGGAAGGCAAGTGGATGGTGTGTGGGTGTTTGGGGGTATCGAGAAGGAAAGTAACAGGATGTTTTTGGAAGTTGTAGAGAAGCGTGATGCGGATACCCTTTTGAGTGTGTTGAGAAAGTGGGTGTGACCGGGATCAGTAATTCATTCTGACTGTTGTAAGCGGAGACCATATAATAGATAATCTATTATATGGTCTCTGTTGTAAGGCGTAGGCTAGACTGAATGAGATGGGACATAGCATGTGACAGTGAATCATAGTAAGGAATTTGTGAATGCAGAGAATGGTGCGTGTACTAATAGAATTGAGAGTACGTAGAGAGGTGAAAGCATCCCTGCCCAGGTATGGAACTACGAAAGGATTGTATGATAGTTATTTTGTTGAGTACATTGTGAGGAAGAAATATTTACGTTGTTCTGATGA